ACGAAAAGTGAGAAATTTGAATCAGAGGAAACTTGAATAAATATTCAGCTTGCAAAAAATGAAAATATCATATGATCACAGTTTTACATTGAAGTCCACATTTGCAGTAACAGGGAAGATATGTGTGGATTTTGTTCGTTGCATGTTAAACCTGCTGGGCTAGACACCAAATGTCTTTATCATTGGTCAATAATGGACTATGGAGCTGGCGGTCATCTTGAAATCACTAACCACTCTCACAATAGGACTTACACTAAACAATGGCTGATATAAGTGGCTCATAGGGGAACATATGTTACTGGTTGAATGGATTAGTTCATCTGAATGTCACAGTAGAGATAAATGTCACTAGTATTTTGAACATAGCACAATGCCCCAACGTCACTAATTCATGTGAATCGTTTGGAACACTTGTTATTAATTCTTTTGATTAATCTGGCACAATAGGGAAGCTCTCCAACCTTTATACTCTATCTTGTATTATAAGAATGGCAACATTAATTCCCAGTATCGATCAATCATCTAGGGGAACTATTGAAATACTAGTTCTCAGTTGAGATATTAGTTCTCCTAGGTAGCTACAGTTCCCAATCTAGATCACTGTTATATGGAGTCTGATACAGAGATAGACGTAGTGCACGTTGTCGTTTCTCCACACCCATCCGAATCGCCATCGGGATGTCATGTTTGAAATAAAACTATTTATATAACTAGTAAAAGGTCCCCTGACCAGTCTAAAATTGACCACCTTACTAACAGATCACGAGGAAGGCAGTTCTCAGATATAGGCAGAATGGTAACAATATACTTATGGTTGGCAAATGCATTTCGCTAGGCCCCAACGTAAGGCACATATGTCACCTCTTACGATCATGAAGTTGGATACAACAGGCCTTTTCCTCCCCCGAACCTGCATCGTTAATCCTAGTCGAGGCGTCTGAACTCAGATGAAGTATATAAATATCACCTGCGTTTTCCCAAAATTTCTAAAAGGGTGCGGTTATCATAATATGATAATAGATTAAGTGTAATCATAAATTTGATAGTACCAAACAAACTATGTGATAGAGATGTACGGAAAAACATGCTTCATCTTGTATTATTTAAATCTCAAAGTTAGGACGCAATGATTTTGATAATTAATGTCAACATATTTCAAATTGTTTGATTTGCAGTCAGTAATAGGAAACTAAACAATAACTTGTGACAAATTTAAACATTAAATGTGTCTTTGTATGCCACACAGCCTGTTCTTAGTATTTAAATTTTCTGAATATATGTTGACGAATGAATTACTTAGCCACCGTTTTCTACATTAAAGACTGTAATCTATCCAAAGTTAATGTAAGATTTATACCACTTCCTTGTTTCCGACTCCCAGTGTGTGTCAGGGTTGAAGGTTTATTTTCTGTACCTTCAAAAGTTGGTTAATTACCTACATGTACATTTACCTCACGGATTTGAAAAAAAACTGCATTATAATACGGGCAACAGGTGGGGCAAGACACGCTTGTCCTGTACGCGATATAATTTTTATGCAATATTTATAGTCATGACTGAATATTACGTGTTCATTATATCTTTAACACAAAACTTATCATTTAAATTAAAAAATGGATCAAAAACCTTATTAACTGTTATTTGAGGGTGCCAATGATATATCATTTATTGTAATATTTTTAACACTGGAACAATAATCAGTTTAAACATATTTTGTTGACTGAATACAGCAAAGGCGTTGTAGTGAAGATGTACCTTTGTACTAATGGCCGTGATCAACAGGCAGTATAATACAGGCAGTATCTATCAATTGTGCCGTAAACTGAAAAAGATGAAACCCGTGGAGAATACAGAGTGGAATATAATCTGAATTACAGGAACAGCTTTTCACTTTGGTTCCTGGTAAAGTTCTACCATAACAAAGTCAATCAAAATATATTTTTAAAATGACTTATTGTGTAAGGGTGATAACTTTATATATGCAATACACAACGTATTGCGCATTACAATGAATCAAGACAAACAAACACTTGAAATCGATACGTAATCACAAAGGTAGAAACAAATTGCCATGCGACAACAAAACCAAAGAAATATAGCAGAAAAAACCCAGCAATATTAAAATGAAAGCAGGTTTTTTGAAATAGCAACTGTACCCGAGATTACATTGACATTCGCCATATCCGGAAGCTACTTAGATCACCAACGATCTAAGAGCAGGTCGCTTATCATGATAGACATCATGTCATGATGACCATAACAGCTCTAGTCTCTTCTTGTAAGAAGCATAGCTCAGCTGAGCTTATCCTTTCAGAACATTATGTCACTGACTGTGCTATGTAAACTCTATAAGTCGGGGTGACTGGCATGCTACTATGGAGTATTAAGGAAATTAAAGGGTAATTAAGGATCCTATAGATTTTGTCTATTTTGTGTAGAGTATGGAAGTGAAGTGGCTATTATTGTCATTTCATACTGTAAGTAAATTGCAAGCTATGAAGCTGAGTTGCGGAGTATTTACATAAGAGACGGCAATTAAATATTATTTTTTTGTTCGTGAGAAAGACTACAAATACGGCGTATGTGGTAACGCTTATGGGGAGGACTTTCCATTTGTATTTTTGTCCAAGTGAACTGAGTGCAATGAGAATGAGCGTATCGTCACTGCATAGTCAACGAGCAGTAGTGCTTGCTGGTTTCATGTATAAGAGTAGAGTCTTGACTTCTGATGGTTGTTTGTCTTTGTGAGGGGCTGTTCGTCGACATTTCTAGACCAGTAAACCAGACAGGTTATTAAGTGCTTACCAGGTGTATGTTTTGAATGGTATGTTTGACGATAAAATACACACCACACGCTAGTATAATCGGTGGGATTTTTTAACATATCTACAGTTTTAGGCATTGTCTGAATTACCTTTTAACATGTCTACAGTACATGCGATTGTCTGAATTGTCTATTTATATAATGAGTCTGTTTATAATATTACAAAATGAACCGGGAAGTATAAAACCTCCCTTTGTGTACCGAGACCGGGGCTACAGTTTATTTACACGTACATCATCATACTATCTCGGATAAGCTTGTCTAAGCTTGGATGTTAGGAGAAAGAAATCGTACCGATAAAGTACAGGGGACAGTAACTCTGACCACCATGCACGACTTGTAGCAGTCAAAATTACCTTAGTTTTTAGTCGGACAACACAAACAGGTAACCCGATATGTACTCAGGTGCAAGTAAATGTCTTCATTTTTCACTGTGAATAGTAATAGGGCCTCAAACATCGTTTCACAGCATCAGTGGCATTAAGGACTTTATCAAAAAGCATGATACTCTCGCAGACACTATTGCAGTAGCTGGATAAATAGTATTGTTTACATAAATATTCCAAATTATTTGTGTAATATAACATCCGTTAAACGTTTACCTTTTCCACATGTCATACTACCATTCTTCTTGTTTAACGTAAATGTCGTTATTTCACGTAACTGTGACGTCATAAATATATTTTTGGTCATATTATGTTGTTTTATAAGCACTATATGGTATTGTCATGTCATCTGACTTACGAATGTCATTGCCCAATAGTTAAGGTCATCATTATAATATAACCTCCGTTAAACGTTTACCTTTTCCACATGTCATACTACCATTCTTCTTGTTTAACGTAAATGTCGTTTCCTTCAGGTGACGTCATAGATATAGTATTGGTCATATTATGCCATGTTGTTTTATTTAGCACTATATGGTATCGCCATGTCATTGCCCAATAGTTAAGGCCATCATTATAACGACGTCAAAATGTCCCGTTGGGTTCCACTGACTTTTTCAGTCCTGCAGATGGCTGTGATATTCATTAAACAAGCGGACAAGATGTTAAAAAAACTTATTTGAACTTAAAGCTTAATTTTGGAAATTCTCAATTATATTTCCATAGAGTTGAAATATTGCAACAAAAATGTTTAATACAAGTATTGAACAGCTTTCTGTCGGCATTCAGTCAGTGTGGCTGCCAATTTAAGGCGTTGACTTTGACGAAGCGCTATTTCTGCACGCACTGCCAGTACGAATGTCGTCTGAAACTGGTTATTTCAATTCCAGTGGCTTTCATATTGACTTTAAATGCAAACGGAAAGTAAATCAGTACTTTACTGATGACATATGATAAATATAGCATTGTCATTTTTTAGCATAACGCATGACTGTGTGTTAAAATGTTGAAAGTTATATTGAATAGATCGGCTCAATATAACCGACTTCATTTAGATAGAAGACATTTTGTTTAAACTGGCATTTTAAATATGTTTCAAATATCTTATAATTCTAAAACAAAATGAGAAAACCACCTTTTCTTGGTCTGAGTTAAAAATATTCGTATGTCCTGAAAGTGTGTTCAAAGACGTTTGGATGTCGGATTTCAGAATTAAGTATATTTTCTTGGTGCTTTTAATAAGATTCATAAGATTGTTCAAAAACCCTCTTTGATACAGACTATCGCGCAGCATTTACGATAACATTGTTCATTTCCGCTTAGTGAGACACTTCGAAGGGTTGTAGAATCAAACTTTATACATCATACATGTGATTCCTGACACTAGCGACATAATGTATTGAATGGCTGTCGTATATTCCGAATCTTTTACGAGATAATGTCATTTTTGATATCTTATATGATAAGGTAACACATTTAAACACTTTTTACGAGATATTTTTTAAGATGCTCGTTAGTTTTTACTCTTCTCTAGTAATTTGCGTGTATTTCGTTTGTGTAGAAGCATTTGCACAATAAAAATATTTTATAATAGAGAAGAGTCGTGTGTCTATTTTTCAATAACACCACTATATTTAACCAGTAAAATAATTCATTTGGTATGGATGTTCAGTATATACAACTTCACATTAATATTGTGCTACTTTGTCTATTACATTGTCGTTATAAACAATTTAATAATTAAAATAACATATCGAACACATGGTACTTTATATGTTCACAGTGACATCATGAAGTGTTCGGTGCACGCTGACCAGACTGTCATCATGGTGTGTCGAGCCAAGCAATGTGAGTCTTGCTTTGTTTGTGTACTCTGTATAGCGGGATCTCACAATGGACACAAAAAGGCGACAGTAGAAGAAGCCGGAAAAGCGGCAAAGAAACGACTCAAGGATAAGTTCATGGCAAACGTTAACTTCCTAGAGGACCAGAAGAGAGAGATGGAGAGAATCAGTAATATGGAGCAGACAACCACTAAAAAAAGGGGGGAATTACGTCGAATGATGGAAACACAAGGTCAACAGATGCATGAGACTGTGGACAAGGTTATAACACATATGATATCTCCATATGAAGAACAGTATGAAGCACGACTGAAAAAGCTTAAAAGCATAAAGCGACGGACAAGAGACGATATTGCGACAATACAATCATCAGAAGAAAGGTTGGGACATATTCTGGAAACCGAGGACTGGCTACAAATCATTCAGCACGAGAAGAAATCGAAGACGACACCAAAGGTAGAACATCTTCCCAAGGATACCACGCCCGACATAGGAGCAGAGGAGATCAATAAGACTCTTGTCATGGGGGTCTTATCAGCCCTACAGCAATGTGAATTTAGAAGCAGATCCACTATAGCCGACGAAGACACCTCGGACTTTGTGGGTACTGTTTATAGACAGAAATCACTGCAGTCAGTCTCTTCTTTCTCACTTGGGCATGAGGATGACACCCGATGTGTTGCACCTTCCACGAAAGATCAGTCATATATTGTAGTGTATGGGCATGAAAGAATAATTGTTTGCGACAAGAAAGGCCTCGTAAATAAACGCTTGCTGCTTAAATCAGCACCTCGTGCACTGGCAATTACCATCGATGAATGCCTGATCGTTACCTCAAGATATCAGATCAGATTTGACGGTAAACAGTTGGACACCTTCAGTACATATCCTCTAATGCCTAACAAAGTATGTGTTGCATGTAACGGTGACATCTTCGTCACACTTGTATCATCCTACAAGGATCACTTCTCGGACATTTTTGGAGTCGTGAGTCGGTACACACCACAAGGGAAAAGGAAGATCACGTTTGAGCGGGATCGATTCGGTAACACTATCTGTCCTAAGTATATAGCCACAAGCCGAGTATCTGACATGGTGGTTATAACTACACTCACCAATAAGTATGATAACGGTTATAATGGTCACGTGATAGTGATGACCGGGGACCTACAAGTGAAGTTTCGATAACTCAGTGATGGACGGGTCATTCCTGGTGACGAAAAGTATCTGCCAGACATCTCAACCAAACATTTCAGTGTCGCTATTGATTCCAACGATAACATAATATTGGGCGATGTAGTATCGGAGTCTATCGAGATAATAGACAGATACGGACACAAACTTCAGTCTCTAGGACAATGCCATGGCCTGATAAACCTCGTCATGTCTAGTCAAGACGAGTTATGGATCGGAAAGAGAAAAAGTAAAGTGGAGGTTTTCAAGTACACGTGAATCTGCATACCGTAGGAACGTATCTTTATGGCGGTATAGCACTTGGAATAATACTTAATTATGTCTTTTGCACATTTCATCGTGGCAAAAAACTTAATTCACTGGAGCCGACAAATGGCAAACATACAAGCTGTAATGAATATTTTCGATATCATTACCCAATTGGCAATGATGTAATGATAGATTTAGTGACTAATTAGTGAGGAGCAAGGTTGCTTGTGATATGCATTAAACCAGCAAGTTACCTATAAATTAACTCATATTGGTAACGTGATTCGACCTGATGGTATAATGGAAGATCCAATTGGTGTCACAGAGAGAATGGACAGTTGTGCAGGATACGCCCTGCGTTTCTGCGGCATCCAGTTTTATGAGAAGTCACGATGTCATTTTTAATTTATATGTTTCCTCTTTTATTCAAATATCTTATGAATTGTTATGTAAGGGTTTAAATAATATTGTATCGTTTATGGTGAACATCTTTATCAAAAAGTTATCGATACTTTATTTTTATGTATTTAAACACATTTTCTTTGCTAGGACTACAGCAATGACACAGTTTAGCATATGAGCTATGGCATAAGTTGTCAACAGTCAGTATATGTGTTTTACACTATAGACTGTACCGTTTACACAAGTTAATTCAAGTCAGCTGACACAAATGTGATGTGTGGAGGGCACAAAACAGAACATAATCTGTATCTCGGGTGAAGTTTTTCACTTTGGTCCTTGGTAAAGTTCTTACTCGATAATCCAGGGCTTAAGCTTACTTTCGCTGATTGCACCCCTGAAATATCTCGTAGCAAAATTAAAGGCACACGGCTAGCTATAGATCTCAGGTAAAAAATAACCGGACCAATCGCTGTCCTTTGAAGATTACAGAGGAGCAACACACGACTTTAAAACTAGTCAATTTTACCGTTACGTGATCGACAGATTCTTTTGTTGTATATCAAAAGGTGAAACTAGTCTTCTCGTCTTATCCACAAAGTGGTTGTCACTGAGCCTTTGATTTTGTCGACATATTCTAGGGATGCAGAGAACGAAAGTTAGAGTAACACCTGACGTATCGAGGATGTCATAACATGAAAAATGACTATATTTCAGTCAGCCTTTGAGATCAGTAAAATCATTCGACTCAATGGTATATGAGAAGATTTGTTTAATCCACGAAAGAGAAAGTTAGTAGATAATGCGGAATATATCAGTTTTAAGTTGTGTAATTTATTTTTCACTCCTTAATTATCAATATTCAGACATTAACATACATCCATAGTAATTCAGTTTATAATAACAAAAAATCATTTTATGACCATACAAAGGTTACATTTTTTGTCTTTTTAACGAGTGTAGAATGATAGTTATACAGTTACATACAATCTTAATTGGTATTATATTGGCATACTACAACAAGTAACCGATCGCGATCTCGTAGCTTTATAAGGGTCAGAGTTAAACGTCTGTAATAATTGTATAGGCATGTCAAAATTATATTTCAAAATAAGAATGTGTATTGTCAGTAATATGTCATACTTCTTACCCTGATTTCTTTTCAATTTTTCTTAAACATAAAATGGTTTAGACTTTTTACCAAGAACTGCTATAATGTTCTAACACCATATGTGTGTGGAACTCTCAGGTTCTAGCATGTGTAAATATTCATATTTGAGAACGTTAAATTCCTAGAATTAATGCATCTGGGTAATTTTGAACTATGTGTCTTCTATAACTTATACGTATTCACTTTAATCACGTGTTCAAGCCTCCAATAAGTAAGTTCAAACATTTTCCAATAGGAACCCCAATAGAAATATATGAAAGGTCTATAAATAGTTAACTATATATTTGGTATATATCATAGTACTTATTTACTGAAATATTTGTCAAAGTGGTTATTTACTTACTTTTCTCCTACAAACACTATAGATTTACTAACCCTAGACTGATTGGATAAACTTCCTCGGAATAGCTATGTTAGTGGGTACAAACGGGGACGTTATTTGCTTGGTCAATCATTTAATTATGACGTCACGTAACAATGCTTTGTTAACTTACCATCGCTTGTTGGAAAACATCCATGTATATAACTTTCTCATTAATTCATCAATAATTTCAAGCATGTTGGTTCAATCTGTCGTTGTGATTCGGCTTTCTTTTTGTATAAATTACCTTATGTAAACATACCGATATTAAAGGTTTATTTCTAAATTGGAGTTTTTTATGATCGCCATCTCAGAGAGAAATGCAAAAATGCGGAAACTTGGCATACTAAAAGCCAAGACCAGAAACCCACTAACAGAAGTCAACCTGACAAAGCATTTCTAGTTAGCGGCATTAAATCGGTGGTTTTAATTCATGAACAAGCTCACAACACTGGATTTCGGACATAAAGATTGGTGAAAACAATGGACATCTCCATGGTCGGCATCAAGATCTCATCTTTTAACATCTATTTTATTGTGCGATATAAAGGTCGATCTTTTTTTTCCATGTTCATTTAATTCGTTTTGAGGGAAAAAAATCATATTTTATGGACATATGCAAATTTTCCGCTGACGAAGCAAGTTGTGTGACGTTATCAATGGTAAATAGCGGGTCAGTAAACAACCGCTTATGTAAATTTCAACATATTATACTTACTGAACTGATAACAAGCAAATGAAACTTATGTATGTTGATCACACTAATGAATAAAACAGTTAGCAACCATTCACATTAATAGACTGTAAAGATAATGACCGCCATCTATTATAAATTTACTCGTACTGAACTGGAGGTGTCACCTAGAATTCACACCAAAATAGAATGTTTTTTCCTCATATATAAATTCAATAATGATTTTCTCATTTATATAAGGCAATATTGTTCAACGAGGAAAAAAGAGTTTCACTGAATACTTACCAAGTAATATAATCAAGTAATAAAAGGACTTAAAAGAATTTGCTTTTTTCATCAGGTTAATTTCTTGATTATAACATCATAACTTCATTAAAAGGAAAAATGCATTTGGAGTAATTTTAAAGGATACAAGATAGCAATACAATCAAAAATGAAACAATTTTGTACTTAATCATTTCCTACACACACGTTCATAACTATTTGTTAATACGGACAACAAGTGTACCCAACAGAAATAAAAAAAAAAAAAGGTTTTGAACTTCTTAATGACATCGTGAAACACAATGTCTCATATTTGACATGAATTATATAAAACGAAAATTACAATTTGAATATTCACTTACACACTTTTCCCCCACTTAATTCGGCGGGAAAACTCCATGCTCGTCCTAGTCTTTTCTTTGGCCTATCAAGGTTCATTTTCGCCATAATCACACGTACTTCAAAGTACATAACCATGCAATGAAAAGGGAAACTTTGCTGAAAATCACAATGTAACATTAACACCATAGTATCCCATTATCACAGTGAGATATGCGTCTTCAATAATTTGCTTCACATTTCATGCGCTATAATGTAAAAGTCACTGTTGTGATAAGAGACGATATTACGATTTACTTCCTCTGGACCCACTTTCTATGTGTCATCCTTTGTGTTAAATAGCATGCATAAAAAAACGCTAAACTCAATGACTAACCATAATGCAGTTCAATACAATAACTCCTAATATCATAGCCACAATGCTAAAAGCAGTGCCAGAGAACTTCAGATATCGCCTTTCACTACATTTGTGGTATCAGTGGCAGAGATCAAATGTAGATTATATATATTGAAAAGAATGTGTCTAAAATACCATTTATTATCAGTATGCTAAATTTGATTTTTCATCTTTAAAATGTGGTTTGTCGACCCTTTCTAGCTTCATTAGGGACAATATATGCTTTCTTTGGTTTCTCGCTGCTAGCAAGGACAGGACATTTTCAATTTGTGACGTTAGTCTTTTACATAACTGTGACACTATAAATAAAACCTCCTTGGCGTCAGAGTAAGAAATCATATTACAAAAGTTACAAAGTATAATATAACCACTACATCAAATGGAATTTCTGTAACAGAATAATATTAGAAACTTTACTAAATGGTACGTCTTTAATGTTGGATAAATATTTTAGATTAAGTGGAAACCTACTACATATTGACATTCATAATCTTACCCGGTCTAGATTTATACTATAATTGGAGCCACAGCTGGGGCAAGAAATGCTTGTCCACCTGTACGCGATATACATTTTTGTGCAATATTTATAGTCATGTTTTTTACTGAATATTACGTGTTCAATATATCTTAAAGACAAAACTTATCATTTAGATTATAAAGTTCATCGAAAACTTTATTAATTGTTATTCGAGGGTAGGGTGATAAGATATATCATTGATTGTAAGTTGTTAACACTGGAACGATAACAGTGTAAACATATTTTGTTGACAAAGGTGTTGTAGTGAACCTTGGTGTTAATAGTCTGATCAACAGGCAGTGTAATACAGGCAATTTCTATCAAGTGTGCCGTATCACAGGCTAATTCAGGTAACACAGATGAAACCTGTGGAGAATACAGAGTGGAATATAATCTGTATCTCATGTATTTACATAAGACACGGCAAATAAGTATTGTTTTATTGTTAGTGAGAAAAGCTACTTATAAGGCTAAAGTGGTAATGCTTATGGGGGATGGATTTCCAATTGCATTTGTGTACAAGTGAACTGAGTACAATGAAAATGAGCGTATCGTCACTGCATAGTCAACGAGCAGTAGTGCTTGCTGGTTTCATGTATAAGA